GATGAGACCGACATGGCATCATAGCTACTAACGAAAGGACTTTTCACCCATTTTTAGATTGTAGCAACTTTTCGGACTAGATGAAAAATGCGAAAAAATGATTTTAAATATTACATATTTACATTAAGGGTGAAACAACGTAATCATCAAAAAGTCTGAGGACCAGTGTGATTGTGTATGCTCATATAGATAGCGACATCTATGGACAGAAACCTTTTCAAGGTATATATGTTACCGGCAATCTCTATAATCCGGTATTCTATACAATACCTAGATAATGTATAGAATACCTAAAACGTGTAGGAAATATATGAAATAGTGTTTGTTTTATACTTTGCCTATTCTATACAATACCGAATGCTTAGCCGGTAATGTATATGTATGTTAAAAGACGAGAGCAAGGAACGGGTTTTGCTCAGCTTCCAGCAATATCAGCTGCAAAACAGCTACGAGGCAGCTACAAAACAGCTGCGAGGCAGCTACAAAACAAAACTGGAGAAGTGTGAATGGTAGTTCTCTGCAATACCATCTCACCCTGAAGGTTAAAATGCCATGAAAAAATAGACGGGGTGGCACCCTAACCAAAACAACTAAACGTAAGGTACCAAATAAAAAAGGTACTACTCCATAAAGGGGTGTTTGAATCTGGAAGTTAACGAAACGACGTCCACGCCACAATCTCCGCAGGAAAGTAAAAAAATTGTTGATTTTAATAAAGGATATTTTAAATAATATAACTTGTTTTATTTGCCCGTCGTTTTATAAGTATGCCGGTTAACGTTGATGAATTTGGACGAAGATCTATTTATTTTACAAATTGCCGGTAGAACAGCATATACTCGATACAATCCCTAGGAATTGTATTCATTACCTAGGTAAAGTATGTAATGAATAATATTCATAAAATTTCATACATTGCCTGAGTTACCCAGGTATTCTACACATTGCCTAGGTATTGTATAGGATACCTGAATTGTACAGATTACCGGTAACATATACAGGGTGTTTCTTAATGATATGCGAATATTTAAGGGTGTGAATCTATATGAAAAATTAATGTTAGTTTGTTTTATAAACTATGGTCCAAAAATGTTTCCTTACAAAAACTCGGGGTGTTGAAGTTTTAGGAAAAAAATGGAAATTAATTAATATTTTCAGAACCGCTTCAGATATTTCACTAATATTTAGTACATAGTGAAAGTTAATAAAGTGCAAAAATAATTTGTAGCTGTAACAGTGGCGTGCGTACGGGTATTGACTTCGATATTTTTTAACAAAAAAATGCTATGCCAATGGTTTTTTGCCAAATAAAAATTATTTTTGAATTTACCGTTCAATTTAAAACAAATGATCTCTCTTGAGTTGTTTTTTTTTCGATGCGCCATTTTCGAGTAAAAAAATAAAAACCGGTCTATTGTCCGAGGAAATTAATGTAATAATTGAAGAATGCAATTTAGCAATAAATATCTAGTTGCTCTGGAATATGTCACTGGCTTTTGACACCTGACAAGTCTCTGTTATTCAAATCTGGTCGCTGTGACATCTTTTTCATTATTTAGTTTTTACAATCTTGTTAATAATGGTGAATTATTCAAATGCAGAAATGGCGGAAATGCATTACGTATATGGCCTTGCCGATGGTAATGATGAGCAAGCCAGACGGATTTATCACCAGAGATATCCCGATCGTGCTTTGCCAGATAGTCGAACCTTTTCTAATACTCATCGTCGTCTTGTTGAAACTGGTTTTGTCCGAAAAGGAACATCTGAAGGTAGACCTCTAAGTGTGAGAATACCTGAAATGAGGAAGCAGTGCTGCACAAAGTCGAAGAACATCCTGAAACGAGTACGAAGGTCGCTAGACACGCAAATATTTGCCATCAAATTGTTTGGAGAATTTTAGTGGATTTTTTGTTATATCCTCACCATATTTTAAGAGTACAGGCATTTCTTCCCACTGATTTTACAAGACGTGTGACCTTTTGTCAGTGGTATCCTCAAAAAATTCACAAAATCCGCAATTTGAATCAATGATTCTGTTCACGAACGAAGCTAATTTTTCTCGAAATGCCATTCGAATTTCCACAATAATCATTTGTGGGCAGAAGATAATCCCTATGCCGTAACCGAAACCCATTTCAAACACCAATTTTCGGTTAACATATGGGCAGGGATTATTAGCAACCACTTTATTAGCCCTTTCTTCTTGCCGGGACGACTTGACGAACAGACACCCCAATTTTCTTCAACAATGATGATGATCCGTTAGTAATAAGAAACAATATATGGTTCATGCATGATGGTGCACCAGCGCATTTCAGTGTAGCGGTTCGTAATTATTTACAAACTGTTTATCCAAATCGTTGGATTGGCCGCGGTGGGCCCCAATAATGGCCACCAAGGTCCCCAGACCTCAACAGTTTAGATTTCTTTTTGTGGGGCTATCTTAAGGCACTAGTATACACAAGTCCCATTAACACTGTAGAGGAATTAAATGAAAGAATAGTTGCAGCTTGTGATAATAAAAAACACTCCAGGGATATTTCAACGAGTGCGCAATTCCATGAGGAGGAGGGCGGAAGCATGCATACTAAGTGAATTTTCAACAATTTTTGTAATCATTTCGTTGTTTTTAATGTTATGTTAATGTTGTCAGTTGTTGTTGTTCATTACCCCTAATCTGTTTATTTTTCTAATTGAATTAATAATAATTTTGCAAGTTAGACAAGAAGGAAAACAATTAAAGAGAGATCATTTGTTTTAAATTGAACGGGGAATAGTTTTTATTTGGCAAAAAAACATTGGCGGACCATTTTTTTCTTAAAAAATATCGAAGTCAATACCCGTACGCACGCCACTGTTAAAGCTGAAAATAATTTTTTCATTGAAAAATATGCTTTACTTTATTAACTTTCACTACCTACTGAATATCAGTGAAATATCCGAAGCGGTTCTGAAAATATCAATTAATTCCCATTTTTTTCCCTGAAACTTCCAACACCCCGAGTTTCTGTAAGGAAACATTTGTGGATCATAGTTTATAAAGCAAACTAACATTAATTTTTCATGTAGATTCGCACCCTTGAATATTTGCATATCATTAAGGAACACCCTGTATACTAAATAGAGAAACAGTTGTGACAAATTCTCATAGGTGTCGCTACGGTATGTCATTTTATCTTGGATAATTTTTGGTTTGCTGGAATATTACAGTAGGTTGGCTATCTTCAGGTATCAATGTTTTCAGTAATTGTTAATTTTTTCAAATGAGATCTACCATTCTCCGTGGATATGGATATATGGATTCCTCAAAAAAGGCGCTTATGATGAAATCCAATGGGCCTATGTTTCCGATGCTTCCGCTGTTCTCGCTTTATCTATTTTGATTAGACCTTGTAAATAGTCGGATACACCAGACATGTATGTAAAAAGTGTGTACTCGTTCCCAAATACTCTTTCCAATTGCGTTTGTGGAAAACATTCTCTTGATCACTAACAAACGCAGAAATGCAAATATGTTCCTCATCTTATTGGCGTTAGATAAACATCGGTGCAGCGAAAACGTTCACGATATGGGAAAGTCGAATCTTACAAAAGTAAACAACAGGACAGTTAAAAATAAACTATGAAGAAACAAAAGCTTTGTGTAATCAACAATTCACAGGCAAATAACGTCCTAGTGGTGCGTAAATATACAAATACCATAAAGTGAGGCATTCCTTTTGTGCTTTTACAGGAAATTCGCTAATGCGCGATAGACGAGCTGCTGATATAAAGCGTGTCGGTCTACAAAATCTCCACCACACTATAGAGAGATAAACAATGTTCAGATGCTGTGTTGGACATTTTTGTTTACACGGTACTCAAAAGCAGATTTGATGTGGAATATTTTCTGTAATTTCATTAATATGTATCTATTGATTTTAGTAATTTTATTTCTAGTAATTAATATGTTGGGGCGTTATTTTGCTGCAAGTGTTGAGAAATGGAGCACAGATCTGAGTTTTGAATGATTTTATTAAATATCCAAAAGACAATGTCCGTTTTACGTCCAAAACTGGGATGCAAAATCCCATACGATCAAGTAACATAATGGCATGTTCCGGGGCGCAACTTGTTCACAAGTTTTATACAGAATGTCCCAGAAGAACATATCATGCTCTCCCATACATGCTTTACCAGAATACAAAAAATAATACCATCAGTTCCACTAGAAAAAATCGACGCTACTAATCGGCTTTTCTAAAACAAATTTTGAACGACACTGTACAATTTATGTTATGAATCACACTCTGATCAAAATCAAATCGTACAATTGTTGGTCCTACTAAAATTACGATTTTTGCCGCTCATACAAATTCATAAATTAATTTTTGGATCAATTTAAAATAACCGAATATCAGTTAATAGCAAGGCACCCCTTTAACTGGAGCACTTCACCCTCTTTGCTCTTCCCCGTTTCTTCCTTTCTCTCTCCCTGACTTTGTCTGGTATCTGGGCAACCAGACCTGACAGACCTACTGACCTAAGATACTTTAACAGCGAAGGTCCCACGGACCGCTCTGACAGACAATGCGGAATAGATAGATAACGTCTAGGGAATTTCTCTGGAGAAAACATCGCGAGAACGTCAAGTACATAGGTTATAAAAATATTTTAAAAATTCAGTCAAACCTGTAAATATCTCGCAAATTTCACATGTGCCACCTTTTTTGAACTTTTTTTATTACTTTATAAATGGTAATGAAAAACTAAAAATGGAAGTTTTGCAAAAAAATTCAATTTGGTTCCTTGTATGATTGTGAACTTTGAATTTTTGTAAACATTTTGTGAATCCAATATTTAAAGAAATCATTGACACGTTTGACGCGGTCTTTCGCTATAGCGAAGTGCAATATCCACCTCCAACGCGTTCACTAATTATCGTAATCCCAATTGATTTTGTAATCTGTCTCTACTTGTTTTATATCAATTTCTGAGTGGTTGATATCGATGCTATACATATACACAGTGCATACCAAAATCGTTGCACTGCGGTTTATTTTATCGAAAACTGAACAGTAACGATATTGCTTTACAACCGCAAGTGGAAGAATTGTACCTTTTAAACGTTTGCAGATAAGAAACTCGAGTGATAAAACGTTGTTGGCGATAAAGTCATATTTGTGTTATTTTCTCGTGGTAGAACTTATGTCAAATGACTGTTTGGCGTGGCTATGATGAACGATGTCTCACGTGACGAAATCCTTGACACATTCCCAGAGTGTTGCATATCGGCAGGTTCCGGGAGTCTTAAAGGATTTGAGATTGAAATGGAATTTGGATGGAGTGGCAAGGAGAGAGGTGAGAATTTGAAAAATGACCATCTGATTTAAAAAAAATCAAGATATTTCGTTACTGTGTTCTGAATCTGCATTTCGCCGCGGCGCCGTCGGAATCACAGGCAGATATCTGCTACCAATCGCGCATTAATTTGCCAGTGCGAGATACACATATTTGATGAATGATCCTGATTGTCTTAATACACTCTATAAATAGTAGATACAAAATGAAAACGTATCATTCGGAAAGTCCATCACTCATCAAATAGGTCAAACCTGATGCAGAGGAATATTTAAAAAAATAACAAACAAAGATATCACGCGGTGACCCAAGCATCAACAATTGCAGATACATTGTTGTCTACGTATTGCGATTGCTTGGTAGTAGTTTCAAAACGTCCATGCATGGATACTATATTTTAATGTAAAAATAACAGCTGAACATTCTAAGATGGCGGGTGGGCGCCATCTCGGAACATTTTCATAAAAGGAACGAGGAGCCACGTGATATCTCATTAATTAATTTCTTTATAACATCAGAATATAAAGTTACTATCTTAATAAATAATATCAAAATTTTAAAGTATGTTGCATCAATCCTCTTTTTTGGGCCAATATGAATGTGCAATGAGATGTGGGATATTTGGTGTAAATAAAACTGACAGCTTTTTTCCAACGGAATGTGGGATATTTTTTTGCATATTTGGATAGACCCGTTTATGAAGACTGACTATACCGTTTCGGATCTTGAGCTATATAAGCCATTCAATGTACAAATGCTAACCTATGGCAGCCTGCCAGTCAGCCGTTTTAACAGATGGTTTTTATCTTCTAGGTCTATAAAGTACTCATAATAGGCCTCAATATGAGGTGTCACGTAATGCACCATGCCATTTTGAAAAATTTCCCAGCCTAGGCGCAAGCTTCTATTTTTATGTTAAAATATATATAATATATTCATGCACTAATTTTATAACACTGAATTTCAGCTTGCTAACTTGATCCTTCCAAAAAATAATTACGGGGTGCTTTTTGTAAAGCACTGTAGAAAAATAGTAACTAAAATACCCTGAATTTCATTATCTTTCATAAGAAAGTGTCTTACTGTTTCGTGTCGGGTTTTACACTGCATATTTTTTTCAATTTTGAGTTTGATTATATTTACAAATTATACCACACTCTACTAAAATGACGACAAGTAGGTTGATTCTGCACTTCTTGGGCAACGCCGTCATCAGTTCGTAAACAATTAAGAGAAAAAAGTCAGCTACGAACATGTACAACAGAGAAAAGTCAAACAGGCACATACAATTAGTCCATAGACATTCTATCCGGCCCTACGTAGTTGCTGTCCATTTAGCAACGTTGTCCCTTTCCACACCTGCGCGGCATCGCTGCAGCGAGTTGTAATTGATTTCTTGCGTGACTGCGTGGTCCGTGTATACAGGGTGTTCCTTAATTATATGCGAATATTTAAGGGTGTGAATCTACATGAAAAATGAATGTTAGTTTGCTTTATAAACTATGGTCCAAAAATGTTTCCTTACAAAAACTCGGGGTGTTGAAGTGTTGAAAAAATGGAAATTAATTAATATTTTCAGAACCACTTCAGATATTCCACTGATATTTAGTACGTAGTGCAAGTTAATAAAGTTGAATATTTTTCAGTGCCAAAATAATTTTTATCTTTAACACTGCCATGCGTACGGATATTCACTTCGATATGTTTTAAGAAAAAAATGGTACGCCAATGGTTTTTGTCCAAATAAAAACTATTTTTGAATACCCCGTTCAATTTAAAATGAATGATCTCTCTTGAATTGTTTTTCTTCGATGCGCCATTTTTTAGTAAAAAAATAAAAACTGTTCTATTGTTTAACTTGCAAAATTATTATTAATTTAATTGGAAAAATTAAACACATTAGGGGTAATGAACAACAACAACAACTGGCAACATAAACATAACATTAAAATCAACGAAATGATTACAAAAAATGTTGAAAATGGCCCCCTTCACTTGGTATGCATGCTTCCGCCCTCCTTCTCATGGAATTGCGCACTCGTTGAAATATCCCTGGAGTGTTTTTTATTCTATCACAAGCTGCAACTATTCTTTCATTTAATTCCTCTACAGTGTTAATTGGACTTGTGTATACTAGTGTCTTAAGATAGCCATACAAAAAGAAATCTAAACTGTTGAGGTCTGGGAACCTTGGTGGTCATTAATGGGGCCCACCGCGGCCAATCCAACGATCTGGATAAACAGTTTGTAAATAATTACGAACCGCTACATTGAAATGCGCTGGTGCACCATCATGCATGTACCACATATTGTTTCTTATCACTAACGGAACATCATCAAGCAGCAAAGGCAACTATTGTTGAAGAAATATGAGGTAAGTCTGTCCGTCAAGTCGTCCCGGCTAGAAGATTGGGCCAATAAAGTGGTTGCCAATAATTCCTGCCCATACGTTAACCGAAAATTGGAGTTGGAAATGAGTTTCGGTTACGGCATAGGGATTTTCTTCGGCCCACAAATGATTATTGTGGAAATTCTGAATGACATTTCAAGAAAAACTAGCTTCGTCCGTGAACAGAATCATTGATTCAAATTGCGGATTTTGTGTAATTTTTTGAAGATACTACTGACAAAAGGTCACACGCCTTGGAAAATCAGTGGGAAGTAATGCCTTAAAACATGGTAAGGATATAAAAAAATGCACTAAAATTCTTCAAACATTTTGATGGGAAATATTTAAGTGTCTAGCGATCTTCCTCCTACTCGTTTCAGGATCTTTTTCGACTTCGTTCAGCACTGCTTCCTCAATTTCAGGTGTTCTCACACTTAGAGGACTACCTTCAGATGTTCCTTTTCGGACAAAACCAGTTTCAAGACGATGATGAGTATTAGAAAAGGTTCGACTATCTGGCAAAGCACGATCGGGATATCTGTGGTGGTAAATCCGTCTGGATTGCTCACCATTACCCTCGTCAAGGCCATATACGTAATGTATTTCCACCATTTCTGCATTTGAATAATTCACCATTATTAACAAGATTGTAAAAACTAAATAATGAAAAAGATGTCACAGCGAGCAGATTTGAATAACAGATACTTATCAGATGTCAAAGCCAGTGACATATTCCAGAGCAACTAGATATTTATTGCTAAATTGCATTCTTCAATTGTTACATTAATTTTCTCGGACAATAGAACGGTTTTTATTTTTTTACTAAAAAATGGCGCATCAAAGGAAAACAATTTAAGAGGCATCATTTGTTTTAAATTGAACGGCGAATTCAAAAATAATTTTTTTTGGGCAAAAAACCATTGACGTGTCAGTTTTTTCTTGAACAATATCGAAGTCAATACCCGTACGCACGCCACTGTTAAAGCTAAAAAATATTTTTTCATTAAAAAATATGCAACTTTATTAACTTGCACTACGTACTATATCAGTGAAATATCTGAAGCGGTTCTGAAAATATTAGTTAATTTACATTTTTTTTCCTAAAACTTCAACACCCCGAGTTTTTGTAAGGACACATTTTTGGACCATAGTTTATAAAGTAACCTAACATTAATTTTTCATGTAGATTCAGACCCTTAAATATTCGCATATCATTAAGGAACACCCTGTATATGTTCGGTTCGCTGATCGAAAACATATACCTGTATCATTCTAAGTTTCAAAGGGAAATCTATGAAATATGGCTAAGAGGTGCATATAATTACCGGGGTTCAGGGCATATAAATTTACGAAAATAAGAAAAATCGACAACCTCCAACCCCCGAATGTCAACCTCTCAATTTTTTTTCCGAAAACAGTGAGGAGCTTCTGAAATTTTAGACGTAATCTATTCATGTTTATTGTAAATAAAATAATGTACTACAGCACCATACCCATCAGTCTGGCTCTATGGCGTTGATCAGGTTAAAATGCGGCAAAATAATAGAAGATATAACTCAATTGTTTTTGATTAAATCATCCGTACCTTACATCTTCTATATCTTGCTGTTCTAGTACTTAAATTTGATATTTCATGGGATATACAATCGATATGCTCTCTTATCAATGTAGTGGAAGAAAAAATGCCAAAGATACATAAATATAACAATTAACTTTTATCGATAACAGAGGTGTAAATTATCAGTACTGTAGCTATATTGTACACTAAAAAATCCATTCCCTCTTTGTCGTATTGTTCTGTTATGTGATGTTCTTACACTGTAGTGTCGAGTGAAGTAAGCTTGAGTAACGATTTGTGCGCGTTTTAAAATCTAGCGGCCTGGAATTTGTGATTTCTTATCTTGCTTCTTACATTTATTATTATTATTATTATTATTATTATTAACAGAATACGATCTTTTTGCTTCCCACGCCACTGGCGAGAAGTAGTGTATTCGTGAAAAATTCCGAAAATGAGATGTTTTTTGGATATCTTATGACATGTATACGAGTATAACGAAAAACCATGCAACTTTCTGCTTTACTGCTCGGGTTTTCATGAAATGTCTACACAAGGTTACTACTATGCCCTTGTAGATTTTGTAAATCGGTCCAGCGGCAGCAGAGCTGCAGGCAATAAAACAAAAAATGAAAATTTGGCGGTGGTATTCTACGCGCTTATTAGACATATTTCACCCATATAGTTCCCCGTATATTTTTCTTTAAGACTTACAGACTTAGAATAATACGAACATTTTTATACGAATAAAGTGCCGCTATCCATTGCCGGACGAACTCCACGCGACGAATTTGTTATCTGGACAGCTGAGAAGAGGCTAACGACGTCCGGTGATGATTTGATTTATTGATTATAATGATACGGTGACCACGTTGGGGCGTAGTTATTCACGGGTGGAATAATGAATAGACATTCACCAATCATAGAAGATATTTCGTGAAATGAAGATTCTGATTTGTTTTAGTACCTCTTCTTCAAACAATACCAGGGCTAAAATTCTGCCAAATCAACGATGCTTTCTTTCATCTGTATTTATTTTACTCTACGGCCTTATGTCAGGGTACGCCGATTTTCATTACCGAGGAACAATAAACATACCAGAGCGTACAAAAGATGACTCAGATACATGATTTGTCCAGAATAGCGGGAGAAGTGTAAAGTACAATTTTCACAAAACTACGCCTCGTAAATAAATGTAAGTGATTTATTTTGAATTCTTCCATTTGTTAAATGCATACTGATAGCACTGAAAATTGTATATTAATTCCTCGCTCTTACATTTTCGTAGCATATTGTAAGTCGTAATTCTGTTGCCGTTTCTTTTGATCGTGATTATACAGATCACAGAGATGCTAACACAGTAACGTATAGTATCAAATACTTGGTTCGAGATAACTTGCAATTCAGCTAAATTCCATTTGGAATCGTATAATAATCACCCATAAATTGCAATAAATGTGACACGTCGTACAAGATACCTTATCTTAATCTATTTATACTAATAATCTTCATTCACCCAACTAGTAAGTTCTGAATCCACAATAATAAAAAATATCGAGGCGCTGATAGTCCGGCATGTTATCAATAACAGTGCTTACACGTATTGAGACTAACATTGACTGGGTTGTGTACATATCGAGGATGGTGTCTAACGCATTACCAAAGATATTTAGTGAAAAGTGCATCAAAATGTTCTCAAACGATATTATTTGATAGCGTTTTCAATACGTGTTGTTCTCAGTAAGGACTGTGAGCTTTGATATTTTATGAAAAATATAGTGGTGTTGTTGGGATAGACATATGGAGTAGTGTGGGTGTCCTAAACACGTGTGTGTGATGTCTAGAATCAGTTCTTGTAGTAGTGACAGTTCGCTGCGCAGTAGCTTTGAAGGCTCACATTTGCTGCTGTCAAGGCCAAGAGGGTACGGATCATTGCTGCCTTACTATGAATATATCCGGAGTCACGCCAGAGCTCACAAAATTCAGGTACAGTTCTTTTAATACAATAATTAAATAATACTTTTGAGAATCTTATAAGAAAAATACTGAACTATAGCTGAGGTACGAGGGATGTCTTTTAAGTTTTGCATAAAGAAACATAGTAGGCCGCGCGGATCGAATGTCAGTACTGAATCTTAACCTCACTCTTTAGTAAACTTAAATTCAAAATTTCACAGCAATACGTGCAGTGTTCTCACTACAGTGAATTTCTAAGTGTCACCAAGTCATTAGAAAAATGGAACTCAACCGAGAACATTTTCGCGCCATAATTTATTACAACTTTCAGAGACGATTATCGCAACAAGAATCCCTTGCTGAGTTACTGTCTGTTTTCGGCAACGAAGCGCCACATCAGTCGACAATTTCCCGTTGGTATGGAGAATTCAAACGTGGACGGGTGAGTCTTAGCGTCGATTCCAGGGTGGGTGCACCAAAAACGGCAGTCACCCAGGAAAACGTCGATGCTGTGTGCAAACTCATCATTGAAGATAGACATGTGACATATCGCGAGATTGTGGCGTCCTTGAAGATCTCAAAAACCTCAATTCAAAAAATTTTACATGAAGAATTAGGAGTAAGAAAATTTGTTTCTCGTTGGATACCCCACCTGTTGACTGAAGAGCAGAAAGTAGCCAGGGTTAATTGGTGTCAAAAAACGCTTGACCGTTTCAATTCCGGAAACTCAAAAAATGTGTACAGCATTGTTAGTGGTAATGAATCGAGGATTTACGGTTATGAATGAGAAAATAGTCGGCTTTTTGGGTGTTCCAAGGTGAAGAAAAGTCAACAAAAGTCATCCGTTCTCCTAGTGTTTCGAAAAAGATGATCGCGACATTTGTGTCAAAAGCGGGTCATATTGCAACAATTCCTCTTAATGAACAAAGAACTGTTACTGCGGATTGGTATACCACCATTTGTTTGCCAAAAGTCATCACCGAGCTTCGAAAAATCAACCCCAACTGGAGAATCATCCTCCACCAAGACAATGCAAGCTCGCACACAGCCCAAAAAACAAGGCATTATTAAACGGAAGAAAACGTGGAATTATTGGACCATCCTCCATATAGTCCCGACCTAAGTCCTAAAGATTTCTTTACTTTCCCGAAAATTAAAAACAGACTGCGTGGTCAAAGGTTCCAGTCGCCAGAAGAAGCAGGTGACGCATTCAAAAATGCCGATTTGGATCTGCCAGAAAACGAGTGGAATAAGTGCTTCGAAAATTGGTTCGAGCGCATGCAGATGTGTATTAATCTTCGTGGAGAATACTTCGAAAAACAATAAAGTCATTTAAAACTACCTACCGTGTTGTTTTATTTCCATATGCAAAACTTAAAAGACATCCCTCGTATTGTCGGCTCGTTTGTCTATTAGGATAATGCAGTTGAAATCAGATAGGCAAAAAGGACAAGAACTGAAAGGGCCTAATAGCTATGTATAGCTATTTATGTATCTTATTTATTAGCTGGGCTTTGATTAACTAAATTAAAACCCAAAGTACGAGGCGCCACGGACGGGCCAATAGATATGAACCCTTATTAGTTCTGAGACATGTGCAAAATTACCTACGACCGGCTAAATTCAAAAATCAACAGTAGCTTCTAAGATTAATAAAGTGACCGTACTATTGTATCCCCTTTAATTGTATCGTAGCTTAGCAAAGAATAAATGAGGACACCATTGAGATCTCGGAAACGGTAAGAGATACGAAGTCACTTAAATGGAGGCAAAGTTGCGTATTTAGTTAACTAACAAAATGTCGCTCAGAAAACCTGGATTATCCTAAAATTCTTCCTGATTTTGAAATAAATTGCACATTAACATTGTCGCTTTTTCTCCTCTCCAAAATGGCATAATTAGAATATCAATATGACTTTCCGCCTTGACCTCGAGCATCTACTTCATTTTTTCTTACGAGCGCCATATTCTACTTTGGCACAGGTGAATAGATAGAAATTCTGATTTCAAGAATATATAATAATCTCATACATTGACATGGCCAAACTTCAGTTATTTCAAAGACAGACTTTCCTAAGGATGCCTTGAAATTATCATATAGTCATTTGCTGCATAATACCACTAGCCAAGCATTCCTTTAGTTTGAATGCAGATGATCAGCCTTATTTCCGAATTCAATGTTGTCATATTTATTGTATATGGATTGGTATTATAAAACTTCAAATATCTTAAAATGTAATCTTGTAGTTGGTCTCATGCTAGCTATATGAAATAAATGACTATCTGATAATTTCAAGACATACTTAGGAAATTCTGTTTTGAATAGATTTGGCAATGTCAACGCATACATTTTGAATACAAAATTCAATCTTTAGAGACGAAACATTCTATTGAAATTCTAACGATGCCATCTTGTAGAGGAGAAAGAGTGACAACGTTAATGTAATTTTTTATTTTGAAGTCCCATCTCAACTAGTCGGAAAAATAAAAACAATTTTGAGAAAAATCGGCTTTTTTCCTCTATTGCCCGGAATTAGGAACCTTTATTAGTGCCATTTTCTTAGTTACCTAAATGAGCAACTTTGCCCCCCATTTAATCAACATAGTATCTTTTACCGTTTCCGAAATGTCAATGGTGCGCGTCGAATTTGAAACTCCCGGTATATAGTAAATAGAGAAACAGCTGTGACAAATTCTCTTATGTGACGCTACGGTATCTTATTCTATCTCGGATAATTTTTGGACGCGGGAATATATCTTTAGGTTGGTTATATTCAGATATAGAACATGTTAATCGATGATGGAACGCTTCTTTGAAGTGAATCGGCACGCCTCACATGCAGATACCTAGACATTGTATAATTGACTGCCAGGAAACATTGTGGGCGATTAAGAAGCTCATTAAAATTTAAAAATAATGTAATTATTCTAAGAGTTTTGAATGAACTATACACTCTTTCGCTGATCGTAGATAAAAATCTTTATAAATTTGAATTGAACTACATACATATGTCGGACGATATGTTTTTCTTTTTATATCAAAGACTGGCAGACTGTTCTTTTTGCATTTGGTTGCCGCAAACGGAATTTATGCTTTCATCTATCATATAAAAATAGGATGAAACAAAATAAAACCTGGAACCGTGATTGCAATCAAATTATATCGAAATGTTGACTCCTACTTGGGTAAATGCATATACGGTATTTGGGTTTTCGGTGCCAGATAATATTTTGATTTTGGCAGCTTTTATGGGTACCAGGGAAAATGTGTGACCAGCGGGGGTGATATTTAAACTATGAGACACATACTTTAAAGTGATACAAATATCCTTAGATAAATAAATTCAAAAGTTCTTTGAGTCTTGACTTCCATAGGTCTCGAGTTCTATCGGTCTTGAAGGAAGATAATAGTATAGATTGAGAGCTCACAGACCCTCAGGGTAACACTTGTGTTTAACAAAAAGTAGAAAGTTCAAAAAGAAAAGAACAGATGGTTTATTTCCACAATTTGTTTATAGGTTTTGGCGGAATATTAAAATCCCAAATACCATACACATATTTTGAACGAAGTGACATCTTAATGGCCTTAAAGGTTAGTTAGCAAAACGTTTATCCCTTGTTTTCTGTCAAAATAATGGCAGGATAGACAACGGTCTCTAGCTGATACGCCATTGGTTTGTTAATCGCCTTCGGCGAAACTTTCACCATTTCTCAAAAATTACTTATTTTGGCGAAGGTGTATATCCATTTTGCGTATAATTCACTAACCCCGGCTATAAATGCCGATAAATTGTAGCTATGCTGGTGCGTTTCAAACACTGTAATGAACACATATTTATTTTTGTTTAGACACAATAGCCTTCTTAAAATGTAAGTGCCATCAAGTTTTTCCAAGAGAGTAATAATAATAATAATAATAATAATAATATTTATTCACTCAATGTACAAAGATAACAAACAATATGAGTAAATAAATATAAAATCAAAACAGGCCCAATAGAAGGCATCGCCTGTACATGGACCAATAACTTTAAGTTGAAACTGTAGAATGCAAATGACAAAAAAGGACAAAAATTAGCTACAGTAGATTATGTATTTAGTTGATGTTCGTATTTATGAGTTTATGAATTTCAGTCCTAGATATAGAATGTAGCCACTTTTTTAAATTTCTTTTGAAACAATTTCCGAAACGTAAATCTTTTAAGTCTTTAGGTATAATTTCATAAAATTTAGGCGCTAAATAGAGATATGATCGCTGCATTATAGATTTATGCGGTTGAGGAACTACTGTGCCACGAATTTTGTACCTGGTATAATGATTATGTTTAATTTTTTGGTCGGTGTTTACAAATTTATGGTAGTGAGTGATACTGTGTAAGAAATAAAGCTGTCTTATATCATACATTCGAACATCTGCGTATAATTTTTCAGTGGGATAAAGTTTCGGTTTTTTAAATATCATTTTTAGAATACTTTTTTGAAAAACATCTAAATTATAGATATGTGAGGAACATGCAGCTCCCCATGCTAATATACCATATGTGAGATGAGGCTCAATCAGTGCGTGGTATAATGTTCGAAGATATTTTTCTGTCAATATATTCCCAAGGTATTTAATTTTGTAGGATACAAATCTAACTTTCTTTAAAATATAATTGACATGGATGTCCCATCGTAAGTGAGGATCCAAGACCACTCCAAGGTATTTTATGTTGGGCACTCTATTAATTTGCATTTTTTGATCATTAATATTGAAGGAGAAATTTGTGTAATTTGGCAGATGTCTAGCATAAGATCCAAATGGTAAAAAATGTGTTTTAGAGTAGTTAATGCTTAATTTTCTACTGTTAAACCACTGAATAATTTTGATAAAATCATTTTCAATTACATTTTTCAGATCAGACCAGTCAGTGCCTTCATATAATATTGCAGTATCATCTGCAAAACTAGTTATTTTGCCAACACAATTAATTTAGAAAATATCATTTAAAGATATATTGAATAACAGCGGACCTAAGACAGTTCCTTGT